AGGCCAGGTGGAAGAGGGATGGTCATAACGTGCCAGGACCGCTTGGCCAAAGGAATGGATGGCCACCTGAATTCTCGGTCGCATACCAAGCCACCCAACCGGTCCTCAACTGAGGAAGCCAAATGGCTCCTCATTAATAATAGGCAACACATCATGGCCAGTGACGCCATTTCCCTCCCTCTGTCGTAACTACAGAACAGAATTTGGGCCACTAGGTTTATACAATCCATCAAAGTACAACTCTCAGTCTTCAGCAGACAATACTCAGGCTGGTCATTTGCGAATTTTTCCTTTCCTTTGTCACCTTTGTCACCTTTCTTGGGCGTGTGTGTTCTTTTTCGATTGTGTCTTCATCATTTGACGTTCTGATTTACCTCACGTCGGGCAACACACCCCTTTCATGTCATCCCGTAACAAAGTAAACTCCATAAATTGCACAAGCAAAGAGGGGGAAAAAAAATGAAATTTAAAAAAGCCGGATCCTTCGAGTTGGGGAGTTTTATTCCAGTTTTTTTGTTTTGTTTTGTTTTGTGTTTACACTTTCAACCTTGTCTTTTGATTTAAAAAAAAAAACACCAGACAGTTTTACCTCGCCTTCTGCCCATCAGGCAGCTGAGGAAAACAACGTCAGATCCAAATGAAAAAGGCACCCAAAACCAACCACAAAACAGGAAGAAATAAGCCAAAATCAGCAGTAATATTCTGGAAAAGCACGTTGGGAGTCCACTCTTTTACGTGGTATTTTCAAAGGTTTGTACGTTATTGAGTCCCTTTCAGATCACTTCCTGAATCAGAAACAGGGCAGCTAATACATTTTCTCTCCATATTTCCCTTTCTGATCACACCTAAGACACAGGTCGGGCCCCATTTTTCTTTATAACCTCCCCAAAAGGCATACCAAGCCATTGCGGCCCCATGCTTTATGTTGCTGTACACTGTCGGTTATGGTACCCATCCTCTCCCACTCATTTTGGAGAAGGGGTCTCAAAGCAACCCTGGGCAGTGAATTAAGGGGAAGGTGGAGATTGTACAGCTTCTTCCTTCTAACACACAAACCAGGCCCCCCTCTTGCTTTAGATGTGAAAGTCGTAGTCTTGAACACACCAACCACAATCCACTTGAAGAAGCCTGACAGCCCTTTTTCTCATCCACTTTGGCCTTCAGTTAAAAAGGTCATTCTACCCTATATATATATTTGGGAATGTTTCTGAGTTAAAGTTTTCCTTTGCCCATCAAAAGGGAAGAGTTTGTAAAAGTTACGTATTTGGGGATATGACTATAAGAGTCCCCAGGCAACATGGCCAGGAACTTTCCAGGCCTTGCTAGAGCATACTACTCACTAGCTGGCTGGAGAGCTCAGTGGTTTAAGCATCTGGCGGTAGAGCCGAAGTTGGAGAGTTCAATTCCCTGCTGTACCTCCTCTGAATAGAGCCAACCTATGTGGCCGTGGGTCGGCTCCATGTTCCCAGTATGTCCTCAGAAGAAGGGAACCGCAAACCACTTCTGAGTACTCCCTACCTGGAAAACCCTGGAAAGGGTCAACGTAAGTCAAACCTGACTCAACAGCACGTGATGGGGATGATTTACTTCCCACTAGCCAAGGGCTCTTGAGCTTCTGCAGCCTTCGCCTTCCCAGCAGCCCTGAAATGGTTAACCCATCCCTGTGATTTCCATGCAATCCAGGAGTGGTGCGGTCTTTGGCTAGCTAGGGACCCAGCGCCAAGGGGAGACTTGGATTCCCACAGCCCAGCTCCCCGGCACGCTCTCGACAGCCAGTCGATCCCTATAAAAACCCCAAAAGGCTCAATCCGGCGAGGGTGCCTGCAGCGAGCCAATCTGATAGGAACCAGCAGCGCACAACTGTTGTGACTAATCGAGTGTCCAACATGTTTAATGGGACTCAGCAAAATGACTAATGTTCCCTGGGTCCAGACCAGGCTCTCCGACTGGAATCGATTATTCAGAGTGTTTACAGGAGTTTGTAAAATGTTCCCCTCCTTCTGCTGGGGTGGGTGGCGTTTGTTTCTCTTGTTCTCCCATTTATCAGCTGTAGACGGCGCTGACAGCGATTAAGGCATGGCCAATAAAATCTAAAACTGCTGAGGGTGGATGGCAAGACAAAGCAACTCAGGGCCCAGACAGGGAGGATAATACACGCGGTGGACTTTGGTGCAATGATGCAGACTAGCCCACAGACTTGATGCTTCAGTGCCAAGCGAGCTTGGTTCTCAAGGCGCAGCACAAACCCAGCCAGAACCCACACTTCTGTGGATGCCTTAACTGCAAAGTTATAAATCAGTCCCCATAAAAGCGGTGAAGACATATTTTGACTCACAACATGGCCAGGAGGACCAGGTCGGCCTTGAGGTCCCATAGGTCCGGGTTCTCCCTGGAGGAGAAGAAAGAGAGAGAGAGAGAGAGAGATGGGAAACCAGAGCAGACATGTCTCTTGATATTATATGGTCATTGGAGCAAAACAGAATAATTTGCAGAGGGAGTCTCTTAAAAGGAGCTTAGGTGGCCCCAGAACACAATTTCAGACAGGGCATTTGTTAGCCTTCAGTAGATTAACGGGAAGTGAATAAAATGGGCTTGCACCCAGTAAATTGCAAAGACTCACTGTAAGTAAAAAATAAAATTGAAAAATGGGTAGGCTCCTAGAGTCTGTGCATGCAGCCTACAAGAGCCAGGATTTGGCCAGCTGGCTCTAAACACATCTGAACGCTTATTTGTGTACTGAGGTCAGATGGGGACATGTTGTTTGCTCTCTTCCCCCAGAGATATGTCCTTGATGAAGGAGTTCTTTGCCTTATAATAAGCCATTTCTCAGTCTTGTAGGCATGCTTCCGCAAGAACAGGTGTGCTAGTCCTCTGGAGGAAAAACAACAGAGCCTTGTGGCATCACAAATTTATTTGGAGTAAGCTCTCCTGAGATGCCGCTCAATTCATCATTCAGTTCCAAAGACGGAGGCGGTGTGCTCCGCAGATGCTTAGGCTTTATGAGTTTTTAAGGTGTTCCCAGATCCTTAATTGGTTTTACACCACAAATCTAACTCGAGGGTGGTCGGATAACTCACCTCGGGTCCAATTCTTCCAGGGCTCCCTGGTGATCCTGGATTACCACAGTCACCCTAAGAAGTAACAAGGGCATAGTTCGTAATGCTTTCGTTGGGTGGACGAAGCATTCCACAAAAAGACTAGAATGTAAGGCTTCATGTCTTTAATCCCTGCCGATCCATCAGAATCTGAGAGCACATACACAGGAGGGTGGATGTGCCCTGGATTGTTACTCCAGTTTATTGGCATCTGCCTTCGAATCAACTGGTGCAGCTTGTGCAACTGGGAGTGAAGCCCATGAAGATAAGTCAACATTAAGGTGCTTTGCTGTTCTGCCCCACAGTGTTTCTCCAACACCATGGTCAGTGAGAGGCTTTCTGACTCATACTATCTGCTATCGTTTAACTGAAGAACAGAGACCGAATGTGGGACAGGCTACGTGTAAAATAGCTGGGCTCCCACAGAGTACTGACCTTTGCATTCAGAGTGGTCAGGGACCTGTGCTTTTCCTAACAGCTTTGACAAATATCTACTCTGGACTCAAAAAGGGCTACCTAGATTCTTCAGGGAGAATAAAGCATGCAAAACAAATGCATTTGCATTATTCCTATAGCATAGGGTTTTTTGCACTGAAACTGCTATATGCATGCTTGACTCTGCTAGGTATTGGAGACAGCGCCCTTTCTTAAAGCCCCAACGTTTTGAGGACTGGAAATCAAAAGGGAAGATCCACATCCTCCTAATCAAAAACAGTATTAGCAAAAAACAAAACAAAATAAAAATCCTGGGTTTCTACGCCGAACTATTTGTATCAAAAAGCTTGTGTTTTCTTCCCAAACTTTTGTATTGGCTGCAAAATATGAATTCCCCTGTGTGCAAAATACAAGCGTTTAGGAACAAAATTCCCAAACTTTTGTATTGGCTGCAAAATACGAATTCCCCTGTGTGCAAAATACAAGCTTCTCGGAACAAAACGCAAGGTTTTTCCATACAAAATGCACCTTTTTCTTTTTTAAAAAAGCCCCCCCCAATCCCAAACATTTTTCAAGCCAAAATACAAAATGCACAAAACCTCTTCTAATCTCAGCAAGTTGAGCCGGAACGTTTGACAGCATTCTCCCTTGCAAGAGGGAAATAAAGATTTACCCTCCTATTCTATAGAGATCGCTCCTATTAGCAGCAGTCAAAAGCCATTTTGCAGCTATTACATTTTTCCCCCTTCACGGATGTTTTCGTAAAGAGAAAAAAGGCAGAGGAATGGTTGGGAAAACACAGGAGGGCTACCAATAGAGAAGACGTCTATGCTCAGAATTTTGAGCCTGAGGCTGGCCCACTACTAGGCTCAGAGCTGTGGCAGGCAATGCCCTCCGTCTCCTTTTGACTTTTTTGTGTGCCAGATGAAATATTCATCCTTCAAGGAGCAGCGGCATCTGTAACCTATTATACTCAGTGGGCAGCAGGTGGCACAACAACCTACAAAGGACAGGATGGGGCAAAGATGGCTATTCATACAAGGGCATGTACACACACACACATGCATGCTTGCACGCGCGCACACACGCACACACACAGACAGGCAAGTACGAGCATGTGCAGAAAACCTCTTCCTCTTCCTCCAGCATTGCCTGAGTTTGAGATGAGGGCATCTTATCCTCATGGATGAGCCACTGATAAGTGCCCTGCCCCTAATGGATTTTTTTCAGGGGGCTCCTCACACCATTCCCTTGTATATGTGCCCCTCACACAACTATTTCCCCCTTCCTTTTTCTTTGCCAAACCAACCAACCAACCAACCAACCAACCAACCAACCAACCAACCAACCAACCAACCAACCAACCAACCAACCAACCAACCAATCAAAGTCAAAACCGAAATCAAAGTCAATGTCAAAATCAAAGCCAAAATCAAAAACAGAAAAGGTGAACAAGGTGGACCATAACTTTGGATTAATAGCACAGGGGAGTCTCCATCTGGAAGCACATAATTCTTTGCAGATGACTTGATCCAAGTCCTGGCAGGAGATACCAAAAGACTAAAACTAAAGAGCGCTATGGGGCGGTATATAAGTCCAATAAATAAATAAATAATAAATAAATAAATAAAACCTCAGAGATACCTAGTCCCTTTTAAAAGGATTTCTCCCCCCCTCCTTCTTCTTTTTCCACTCTTCACAAGCCCACGTCTGTTCATGATCCTGGGATCAGTAGCGTAAGGCTCACCTTTTGTCCAGGGAGGCCTGGGTGACCTGTCTTCCCTTTGAATCCCTAGAGGGGAGAAAGCAAACAAAGAATTTGAATAGGCAATGCCGAGCTACTTGTCTGGAGATTTCGAACAATCCGCCTTCTTGAACTTCTGTCTTCTAGTACAAGAAAGTCATGAGGTCCAACATGGTGTTAAATGGCCTACAACTTACTGGAGGTCCCATCCTTCCTGGTGGTCCTGCAGTTCCAGGGTCACCCTAAAGAAAGATAAGAGTTAGTCCTCTCAAAGAGGGAGCAATCTCAGTGGAAAGGACTAAGCTATCTGGGCCAATGTTTCCTTTGGGGTGCAAAAAGCTGTGCTTATCCCCTCTTAATGGGTCTCTCGGTGGCCAACCACAGTAGGCCCACAACTGGTGATAGGGGGCCAGATCCCAGATCAAAGCTGAGCACAGCTGTAATTTTTGAAGAGGGTTGTGATATAATTGAGGGTCTTTGGTGGGGAATGATGGCCAAAAGCCACTGTGATCTGGGGGTTCTTACCCGCAGTCCTGGTTTTCCATCTTTTCCATCGAGTCCTTCCAAACCAGGTGGACCCTGGAAACAAACTCAGGTTTATGTGTAATTTGCATACTTACTGGTGCATTCCTAAAGTACACTGTAAGTCTTCTAAGGGCTTCCCTTTATGTGTCATCTCAGGTGACGCCTGAGTTGACAAAAGCATGGTTTGCAACTGGGCGGCAAACCTGAATCAGAAACCATGGTCTGATGTTGGCTTGCAAACCAAGGTTTGTGCTATGTTAGTCTGATGTAAAGCTGAAACAGAGAAAACATTGTGACTGGTGCCTTTCCCATCAACTGTTGGACCTTGGACTTGGGAATGAAATTTGGAAGGCTAAAAAAAACCCCAACACATTAACTGCACAGATGCTTTTATATGACTCCATCTTGCAATGATCTTGTAGCTAAATCAAGGCTTTAATAAGGATGTGTTATTGGAACTTCCCTGTAGAGTACTTAGCATCTTCATGAAGCCACTCCCCTTAACCTCTCTCATCTTCATATCAGGATTTCGTAAACCACTGCCAACCAGCATACTTACCTGGATCCCAGGAGGTCCTGGAGGCCCTGGTGGGCCGGTCATCCCAGGAGGTCCACGCATGCCCTCACTGCCCTGCAAAAATCCATGTTCAGCTGCAATGATTAAAAGGTTCATCAGCCTCCAATATGTCCAACAAGAGGCAAGAAAGGGCTTAGCCGGAGGAGAAGTCTGGGTAATGGGACTCCCTTCCTTTTCTCCATCTTCTTCTTCTTCTTGTTAGCTGGCCAGAGAGCTCAGTGGGTTGGGAGCACCAGCTGAGCAGCTCAATTCCCCACTGTGCCTCCTGGAAGAAAAGCCAGCCTGTGGAGCCTTGGGCCACTTGCCCAAGTCCCTGAGGGCCACCTAAAGGAAGGACTGATGATGGACCACTTCTGGATTCTTTATTTCTAGAAGACCACCAGGAAGGTCAACGTAAGTCAGAACTGACCGGTTGGCACTTTACTATTATTACTCTTCATTGCTTAAGCTCCCTTTCTTGAAATCGCCTCTCCATCTTTCCAGAAAATCGAGCAAATCCTAATGGTGCATTCTTTTAGATGAGCAACAGATGTCAGCAAAGTCCAGGAATAAGCCCACACTCCCCTTTTGTTCCTTTTTCTTCTGCCATGGACTCATATTTTTTTTCCCTACTGCAAGCCAATGGCTATTTTCTCCTTAAGGCTTGTTATGATTGGCATTAGAGTACCTCCTTAACAGGATATGCTAGAACAATATCGTCTCCCCCGATTAGTGCTTCGTCTACAGACACAGTTCTAGAGACCATTGTGGGCAGACGAGAGCTCTTCATTCAAAGACTGGGGCCACAATCCTATTATTCATCGAATGCCAGTGTAAATCCAGCAGTGTAAATTTCAGCAGCAAACGGCCAACTGTTAAGAAGACAAGGCTTGTATTTCTTGATGCGCAAAAAGTCACACAACTGGCGTGCAACAAGAAATACGAGCGCTGACATCTTTACTAGCAGCAATCTGCCGCCGAGATTTACTCTCCTGGATTTACGCCAACAGGCATAAGTAATAGGATGGTAGCCAACGGGACTTGCCTAAGGCCAAGTGGATCACCTCCTTCCAATCTCCCCCATCCCTCATCTCTCTTTAACCACAAAAGCGCTTGCGTCATAAGAAAGAGCATTACGCTAATTAAATTTCAGTGGTTTGCCTTAATTTCCTCTGGCTTCTAACGGTTCCCCTCTGACATTTTAAACAAACCAAGACAGCAAAAATTGGAAAGGATGAGCTACGTTTGGTCCTCGTTGACCTCCCATCCATTCTCAGCTGCACCATGTGAACTCCTAAGTCACCCTCACTCTCTTCTCATATTTATGTGACAGTGAGAGACCAGCAGCAAGGCCATCAACACTTAAAATTTGTAGGGGAATGATCTGCCACAACAGCCTATTAGGTACTGTATTCAAGAGAGTTGGTAGATGAAGTTCTTCTCAGGAGGTGCCAGAGGGAGTTCAAAAGCCTGGATCATTCCTGCAAAGTTCATATAAATCTGGAGCAGATTCAGAGACACAATGAACTTTGAGTCATCATCAACGACTCCTTGATCTAGGTGTCCTAACCGAGAAGGAGAGAACCCCTTGGTCAACCAACCCCGCTCCTAGAGAAGAGAAAGAGGCAGCAGGGGTGGGAACAGGCTGTAGGGAAAGTGAGGCAAAGAAGCCGAAGGATTGCGGAAGGTGTGGAGAAGATCCAAACCGGGGTAAGGGCCAAATATGACATAGTTTGGAGCTTGCTGCATCAGCTGCTTCCCTAGCGAACAGCTAACTCCTGGTGCAATCAGTCAAGACAAGTTCTGCAGCTATACGTATCTTATTTTCTTTTCTTTTTTGCAGGAGGGGAGAAGAGGGAAAATAAAGAAGGTGTGCTGGGAAAATGCAGAAGGATTAGAAGTGGTAGACCACGATGGCTTAGACCCTGCCTAAAATCCTGTAAACAAGGCAGAGCCGTTATATAATGAAAGCCTCCTTTGGGAGAAACCCTAGTCACGTTGGTATTCTGGGCTGGAATTCCTCTTCGTTCAGATGGCATCTTCACCTAATCTGAAGATCATCATTTCCTTTCCGTTATATGGTTTGGAGGGGTACTCCTATGGACCAATCTATCCTGTTCCATAAAGCACCCACCTTCACTTTTACCTACCCACCTTTTCCGCTTGAGGCCCCGGGGGCCCAGGTGATCCTGCTTTTCCTGGAAAGCCCGGTGGTCCCTAAAACAGACAGGCAGACACAAAATAAACAGATTGTTTCTGCAATCCCAAGGAAGTCCTCTGGCTTCATGCTATAAAACGTCATGCGGGAGCAAACCCTAAGTAGCTGCTTGTGCACCGAACCAGAAAGAGCACGGATCACCATCTTGCATTAAAATGAACTGAAGGGTGCAGCATGCCAAAATTAAGTAGATCAAACGAATCGGAACTCCCTCCCTCCTCCTGTAGTCATATGAACAGAAAGGGCAAGAAATGTACAAAGCCCAGAAGACTTCCCTCTTTTCCTGTATTTTCCAGCACATCCCTGTAATCATTAAGGGACAGCAACTTGCCGGTATCTAAGCAGAGACACTGATTTCTATCCCTGTGTTCTGTGTTCTCATCTCATTCTTTTAAGCCTGAGCTGAATTGCACCACCCCCCTGACAACCCTGCCTTTTTAAAACCTAGTGCTGAGCTTTGAAGAAGGAACGGAGAGCTCATTTTTTTACATATCCCGGTATATTCTCTTATTAAAACACCACAACTTTGAAGCTGTTTGTTTTGCACATGGTTCAAATCCTCTTTCCATGGCTTCCCGGTCTATGTTTTTCATCTCTTTCTGGAAACCTCCTAGCCCAGCAAAGTTCTCCTGTGATAATCAGGGAGGGGGGGAAAAAAGCGCCTGGATTATTTGTTTTCCTCCTCACACGGTTATTGCCTTGTGGAAAGGTTCTGACTCTTCAAATTCATTTCTTTTAAGATTCTGCTCGGTTGCAAAGAGAGCCTTAAACCTCTCCCAAATCCCTGGTAGGAAGTGTCTAAGCATGCCCTGTCTTTTGTCCCTATTTTGGTTCCACTTCACTCATTCCTCCATCTGTGTAACCCTGTAATGATGATGGCCCAGAAATCTGAAAATGCCTTTAAGATGCAAAGCACTTACAGGTGGTCCAGGGAAACCAGGCTGGCCTTGGAATCCCTAGAAATAAAAAAAGGAAGTTTAAAACTGAGATCAATCGCAGGTCAAGTCTCACTGGTGGGCAGAATATTTCCTTAGTCAAGAGGAGGGGAGCCTTGGGGGGACACCGGAGTGACAGAATGGCATCTACTGTGATCAAAAGGTGTGGCAAAGTGTATCCAAAGCTAAGCAGAGTTGGGTCTTGTAAGTCTATGAACGAGACTCTTGAGGATGTGAAACTATCTTACTCATACGGACCGGCTCTCCTTGCCCAGTGCAACCGCGTCTCAAGAGATTTGGGCTTCAGAGCAACTTAAGTGGCTAAAAAAAAAAAAAAAATTAGCCATTCTTACTGGAATTATTTTACCCCAGTTTTTGCAATTTGGTGCAAAAGATAAACCCTGTTTGGGCGTTACAGGGTCCAGCGCCATCGACACATTCAGAAAGGTGTACCCGTTGATTAGCATAATACATTGCCATTAGAGTAGACCCATTGGAATCAGTTGAATTGATAGAGGGGATGACTCACCAAAACCCTGTTGATTCAATGGTTCTGCTCTAGTGCAGTTTATTACTCTAGGCAACAGGATTTGGGCTGATGAGTCTGAAGAGGCATGTTTTCTGCTCATGTGAGTCTTTCATCTTGGAAAGGCTTGGTCTATTCATTGAGACTCATGGTTCCCAACCTTGGGTCCTTGGAGGTTCCTGGACTACAATTCCTAGAAATCCTGGCCAGCATGGCTAGTAGTGAAGGCTTCTGGGAGTTTTAGTTCATCTGGGGATCCAAGGTTGGGAAACATCTGGTCTAAATGCTGCAGAGACAAAATCTAATCCCTGCTACCCTACCATAAAACATTTGTGTTTGACTCATTTCTCAAGTTGGCCTCTACCTTCTGGGATTGATGCGAACGTGGACACATTCCATGTTGGTGCGTCTTGCTTTCTTCATGGGCATTGCCCAAGGATGATGCTCTGAGCACTTCAGAGGAAGACGAGGATGCAGAAAGGGTAAATCACCAAACACTTTGTATCTGTAACTAATGCCAGTCTGGTAACATCAGTCATTAGGCTGGCACAGCTTATAACCAGGAGACATGAAAGATGGGAGTAAGAATGGGTGATTAGACAGATAGATAGATAGATAGATAGATAGATAGATAGATAGATAGATAGATAGATAGATAGATAGATAGATGTCACTTAAATTGTTCTGCTTTTAGTGTTTCTTTTCTTGTTTGTTTTTATCTCTTTTGTTTTGGGCGTCTGTGTGTTTGCTTTTAGCCTTTGCTTCCTGTCATTATACGATGCATTTTGCTTTTTATACTATGTTAATGGTTTCAGCTGCCTCGGACCTTTTTATGGAGAAGCTGGATGCATTTTTAATGAATAAATAGCACATCAATAAATATTCAAGGAAAAGGATCATTTTTCACACTATCAGACAGTGTTAAATGGGTGTTTGTGGAGCTGGTTGGGTGGTGGGGTGGGTGGGAAAATACTCTCGTCCCTCTCGCTTTAGATCCATCACATGCTAGCACATGCCAGCTAAGTAGGATGATGGAGGCCACCTTCCAGGTGGACACTAAAAATTATATATATATTTTTTCTAAGAATACCAGAGGAAGAAAGAGGAATGACAGAATATTGCACGTGTCCTGGTGTGAAAACACACAAAGGCTGGGTGATCAATGACCGTCTCCATCTACTTGAAAATTTTCAAACTTTACAAGGTATACGTAGGTGTTGGTGAGGAAACTTTGAAGGGGCAGACTCTGCATGGCAGAAGGGTGACTGTTAAGAAAGCCTTGTCCAACCCCTTTGCACTCTGGATGTGTCAGACTACAACACCCATTATCCACGGACAAAGATCACTGCACAGATGCCAGACAGCACTAGTTTTAGAAAGATCACATCGGCTACTGACACCCTTGCACTCTGAGTTCAAGGTGTTGATAATAAGCTTCAAGGTTGAGACCTAGGGCAGAAATCAGTGTTATCAATGGCTTGTAATAAAAAGAGAAAAGAAAATCCTTAAACCAGGGTCTCGTTCACCTCCTGCCATATGCTAACGAGCTAGCTCTAGTTTGCGATGGGTCTTTGCAGGAATTCATTGAGGGCTGGCACAGCTCCAGGGAGCGACTGGTTCTGAAGTCGAGGGCTGGGAAGTTGAATCCTCTCCGTGTGTCTTGGGAGAGAGTGTGTGTGGTTTCACGGCACAGAAAGGAGAGCTGATTGTGTTTAGAAATGGACAGAAGACCAGCCCACGGTCACACTCTGGGCTTGTCCCGGTTGTGGCCCGAACCGAAGCCAAACAACAGCCTTCTTAGAAGAATGTCTTACCGAATCGCCTTTTTCTCCAGCACTGCCAGGTGACCCTCGCTCTCCTCTCGGACCCTGGTGGAAGGAGGGAACAAAGGTGAGGAGGGCTGCTTCCATTTCCAACTGCGGTGCAATTTGCTTTGAGCTCACTTTGTTCTCGTTGTGGCCACAAACCAGCACACTTTGGTTTGTTCCCTATCTCTGTTTTCACATTGTATTTCTCTTGGTGCAAGACTTTGACCTTGGAGAAGATCGCACAGACAACAGTTGGGTTGAACATTCTCCCCACCCTGGCCGGCCAGATCACAGACTCCGTCAAATGAGACCGTAGACCAAGGTCTGGCTGTTGAGTTCCTATTAGGAGTACAGCTAAGCTTTGGTGCTTACCGGGGGTCCCACGGGGCCTGCAGGACCATCCAAACCAGGAGGACCCTAGAGAGACAGGAAAAAAAGAGAGAAAAAAGACACATAGTATAACACGCCTTGGGAAAGGGATGATGGAAGCAGGGAGATGGCAGGGATGATTTAATTAACATTTTTGTGGGCATGTTAATAATAAGAACTTCTACCTACGAAAGGCCAAGGAAAGAGACAAGGGACTGTTTTAGGATGTTCTTTAATGACTATACAAATTATATGTAGTGATAGGAATACAGTTGCAGTAATGTGTGATAATTACATCAATTTTAATTTTCTGTGTGCAAATCTATTAGCAAAAGGGCTCGTAGTTCACTATCAAAGCCCAGTCTGCCTAGATGAAGCCCCAGGTGCTTCCCCCAGAATTCCTGTGCAGGGCTAAGAAAACTCCTTTAAACGCGGGCTGCCTGCAAGTCCATTCATTCTAGAGCGGTGGTTCCCATCTTTGGGGCCCCAGATGTTCTTGGACTGCAACTCCCAAAAGCCTTCACCACCACCTCTGCTGGTCAGGATTTTTGGGAGTTGCAGTCCAAGAACACCTGGAGACCCAAGGCTGGGAACCACTGTTCTAGAGGCAAATTTAGGGATCCAAAATATACCCCCCACCTCATTGAGGTCCAGAGTGATCTGCACCCCATGTGATTCTATTCATGCCCCAGAACTCAACTGATTTGAACACTGGTAACGCCCACATGTTCGAAAACTGAAATAGTTACAACTTTGGTCTTTTTGCATGGATGTACCTGAAATTCGGTGACATGATAAACCCTAAAGAGGGGGAGTTAAGCTTGTTAGACTCCAGAGAGTGAGTTTCAGGGGTTTACACATTAAGGTGATTGACGCAATGCAGCAAAACAATTCTCTTCTAGTTTGTGCGTTGAATCAAATCTGCTTCTGTCTAGATCCCAGTCTTCCCATTCTTCTTTGAGCCAGTCCAAAATAAGCTGATTTGCGGTTCGGAATTTGGGATTTGTGTTAATTTGGTGCACAGCCCAAGTCCAAATGTTGGAAAGTCATTTTGAAGTCACTGAAAAGTACACCGAGCTAGTTGTTTTTCCCATTCGGTTTAAGAGAAATGTCTATCTCATAATAGGATAGAATAATATCCGGTAATATGCTCCCTCCTGACCTCATCATGTTTTTGCCAGAGCGAGGGCTTTGCTATTCATTACTTTTGCTTCCTCTCATTTCATCTCGCACCTATGACCTTTCAGGTTTCTGATCCCAAGGCGGCTCATAGATTATATTAAAGAGCCAGCACAACAACCTTTAACAGCTGGGACCACAGTATCAAAGCAGCGTTATAACTCAACCAGCAAAAAAGATAGTTTGGAAAGGGTCTGAAAAAAAGCCAAAACCTCTCTTTGCATGGTGCGAACACGACACAGTGACAGGTGTCAACTGTGGGTCATCTGAGATGGTACAGAGAGCACGTCATTAAAAGATGAATCACCATCTACTAAACTATGGCACCTGCAGAAGGGTCTTCAAATTTTCCTTCCTTCCTTCCTTCCTTCCTTACTTACTTCCTTACTTCCTTCCTTCCTTCCTTCCTTCCTTCCTTAGCCCCTTTCTCCCATAGGGCAGTGGTCCCCAACCTTGGACCTCTAGATGTTCTTGGACTTCAACTCCCAGAAATCCTGGCCAGTAGAGGTGGTGATGGTGAAGGCTTCTGGGAGTTATAGTCCAAGAAGATCTGGAGGCCCAAGTTGGAGACCACTGCCATAGGGCAGTGTTCCCCAACCTTGGGCCTCCAGATGTTCTTGGACTACAACTCCTAGGAGCCTTCACAACCACCTCTGCTGTCCAGGATTTCTGGGAGTTGTGTGAGTTGAAGTTTAATAACATCTGGAGGCCCAAGGTTGGGGACCACTGCCATAGGGGACCCAAGCCGACTCACAAGAGGTAAAGCAACCATTTTAAAAAGTGCAAATATCGTGCTAAAAAACCCACCCCAATGAAAGATACATTAAGATTTTAAAAATCAAGTATAAAAACAATTCAAAAACATTATAAAACACCCAGCATTTAAAACAGTGGTTCTTAACCTTGGGTTACTCAGGTGTTTTTGGACTGCAACTCCCAGAAGCCTTCACCACCAGCTGTGCTGGCTGGGGTTTCTGGGAGTTGCAGTTCAAAAACACCTGAGTAACCCAAGGTTAAGAACCACTGATTTTAAAAAAAGCCTTCCTGAGATAAGTTACGGCTTCAAGACCTGCCTGAAGGTATTTGGCTGATGGTGGAAGGACAAGAGGGAAGGGGCCAACCTGGTCTAAAGCCCGGGCGCAACCACCGAGAAAGCCCTGTCTTGTGTCCTCATTTGGTGTAGGCGGTGGAGCCAAGAGAAGGGGCTTCCCAGAAGACCGTAAAAGCTGAGAAGACTCATTGGGGGCGATAGGATCCTTCTAAGAGCTTGGACCCAATCCGCATCTTGTGGAGGCAGGTTTGAATCGAGGAAACCCCTCCCCCAAATACTTACTGATTCTCCTTTCTCTCCAGGGGGGCCTGCATATCCTCGCTCCCCTTTAGCGCCCTGATGACACGCAGGTAGGCAAAAAGAAAGAGAAGGCTTTATTATGAGGAGATAATCTAACAGGACCATTAAAGGCAGCAAATGTTGACCAGTTCCCCCCACTTTCTTACTTGGGCTAGAGCTGAAAGGTTTTTGGAGAAATGCAAAGTCGGACAAATGTTGAAAACTTAGACCCAGTGGTTTGAATTTTCAAATTATAAAAATGTGGGTTTTCCCAACCCCCCCCTAAAGCTGAAACAAAGCAACCAACTTTTAATTGAGAAAAATAAGGTTGAATATTAAATATCTTGCACACCAAAGTGCCACAGAACCACGAGATCCTCCAAAAAGTGTCAACCACGGAAAGATTTGGACTCCAGGAACGTAACACATGAGTTTAGAAAACTGAAATCTGGGTGTGAATCATGTATATCAAGGTTCACAACTTGAGCTGCTGGTTTGTGAACTGGGCTTACTGTACATTTTCTTGAGATCTGCAATACAGTATAATGTTTACCTCCTATCGTAGTGAAGTCTTTCCCCATAACCTAAGCCGAACCTGTTACTTGCCCATCTTCCCCGACTTCTGCTATAAAGACTCCACCTGACTAGCTTGTGTTTTTTTAAATTTTCCTTCCACCGGTCATACTCACAGGTAGCCCGGGGGGACCCATCGCTCCAGGATATCCAGGCTGTCCTGGGGGACCCTATGGAAGAAATGATTGGAAAAAGATCAAAGCACATCAACTCGTTGGCCTGAAGCAACTCTAAATGACCCAAAGGAATGGCTTTCATCTCTTCTAGACCATCCCTCTGTGGTTGAGTTTGATCTTGTCATTTGGCTCTATTCTAATGAGGCCTGTACATATAATTGTACTGCATCTGAATACTCTCACACAGCTCCATAGCCACAAAAATGACAGTGTTATCCTATCAGTTATACTCATAAGGCAGAGCAGTGGAAGGGGGAGAACTACAGTGAACTAATTCAGATTAGTGATGGTGAGTACAGAACTAGAGGGTGGCTACAGTTGCAGATGGTTTTTGCAGAATGCAAGAATATGACCTTGAGTTAACATTATTATTTTTTTTTTAAGAGAGAGGATCTCTCTAGATCTAAGTTTTCCTTCTCCTGTGGTGGATGGTCTAGGTTGGCTAACCATGCTTTGGCTCACCACCCTGACCAGTCATGTCAAGGTGCCAAGTAAAGCCATCAGCTAAAGAGAACAGATTTGGAGGTTCGTTCATGGAGGACGCTGTACTGATAAACACATACATGATTTTCATGTTTTTAAAAAGTAAACAAAGAGTTTATTACAGCAAAGTTAGTACATGTTGGGTTTCCTAGGCCAGGCACTCTTGAGTCCCTTCAAATGTTCTAACTACATTCCAAATCATGGCCACACTGAATAGATCTAAACTTATCTTGATGGTATTTCTAGATCAGGAAGCTCAAGGATAGCATCATCATGTTGTTTGACTGCAAAGACCCATTGGTCTTTACCATTGGTTACCTTGAGAGTTCAAAAGTATCCACAGAGTCCATTCTGTCCAACCCTTGCCTGGATCAACAGACCTCACAAGCTGCTTCTTTAAAGTTCTGCTAGTATTATTTGAATCCACCGCTCACCTGTTCTCCCTTAGATCCCATAGATCCAGCAGGTCCACGTTCCCCTTGGAGACCCTTGGGAAAGAAAAGAAAAATATAAAGGAAACATTTCACATTTCCTACTCTTGTTTCAAATAATTCCTTTCAGGGATAGGAATCACATTTCTAGACGTGTAGGAGGATTTAGATGAATAGAAGGATGGAAATCTACTACGAGCACACAGGAGAGTTGTAGAACGGCCGTGAGTAATCAGATACCATTTCTGATCTGGCTATATCCTATCATCCAATATTCTTCAACTGGCTAACACTTTGCTTGGGGGGGGGAGGATATTATTTTCATGATATTGGGACATATTTGGTTAGTACTTCTCTGCAGGAGGCTTAAAAGAATTGGAAGATTTGCAGAGCAATAGGATTCACTGAAGACTTTATTCATTGGGTATCCGATTCGCCAGGGAATAAAATTAAGTTTGTGAAGGGTAGTGCTTACAGCCATATTTCCTGCCACATCTGAATACACTAATCCAGAAGAAGAACACTAGGGTCAGGATTTGTCTAATAACTGTACAACTGAAACACACACACACACACACACACTTAGCTTGTCGTTACTTCAAAGGAATGGACAAACACATACAAACGTCCCACCCCTACACCCAAGGAGCTTCTTTCAGAATTGATATTATTGCAAGAATGTCAACGTTGATTGGTTTTCTTCCTGAGTTTGGGAAAAAGGCATCTTGGACCATTTTGTGATCATGCCTAGCTGTGTGTGGTGTGGAGCGATACAACTAGAGAAAATAAGCTGCTTTGCAGTGGCAGGTGCACATTCAACCTCCTCTCACCTGTTCGGTGACAGCAGCTGTGAGAGATGGCATGTCGATAACCCCTCTCATATCCAGCACCAGCATCTTGGAAATCCTTAATACGCTCATATGATCATGACATCTCTCCTTGGTCTCTCTTGAGCTCTTTCTTCTTACTAATCAAAGCTGAATGAGTTAGGCATCTGGCTACAGGCCCAGAGGTTGGGGGTTCGATTCCCCAATGTGCCTTCCAAGAGAAGAGCCATCCTGTGTGGCCTTGGGCAAGCTGTACAGTCCCAAGGTGCTCCCCAGAATAAGGGAAGGGTAAATCAGTTCTTAGTATTCTCTACCTAGAAAATTCTGGAGAGGGTTGCCATACATCAGAATCGACTTGATGGCATGCAGTTACTATAAAATAACTACCAAATCCATTTGCAATATTGGTTGCAACCTAAAACAGTGGTTCCCATTGTGGCCTTGGGCAAGCTGTACAGTCCCAAGGTGCTCCCCAGAATAAGGGAAGGGTAAATCAGTTCTTAGTATTCTCTACCTAGAAAATTCTGGAGAGGGTTGCCATACATCAGAATCGACTTGATGGCATGCAGTTACTATAAAATAACTACCAAATCCATTTGCAATATTGGTTGCAACCTAAAGCAGTGGTTCCCATCCTTGGGTAGCCCAGATGTTCTTGGATTGCAACTCCCAGAAGCCAGCTGTGCTGGCTAGGGCTTCTGGGAGCTGCAGTCCAAGAATGCCTGGATGACCCGAGGTTGGGAAGCGCTGACCTAAATGTTTTCAGAGAAGACAATGGTTCCAATCAGCGAATGTCTCTTTTTTTTAAAAAAAAGTTACTTTGGATGTCAACCACAGCTTCTTTTTCAACAGCAACATCTGCTGAGAAGTCAGTCTGTTAGAACTATCCCTCTGAAACAGGAGCTTGATTTCGTGTACCACAGGGGGCCAAATGATACGTGACATAGTATCTGCAAGGTAAAATTTGACCATCTGTACTTTTTTTAAAAATGGAAGTTCCAGGTTCTTCCCACCATCCAGATGGGAATTTATTTCCCTAACAAACGATGGGTCTGGCTGGATAGCTCAATGATTTAGGTATCTAGTTGTAGAACCAAAGATCAGGAGTTGAATTCCTCTCTGTGCCTCCCTGTGAGCAAGAGCCAGCCTGTGTAGCCTTGGGCAAGCTGCACAGTCCTAGGATGCCCCCAGAAGAAAGGAATGCCAAACCACTTCTGAGTATCCTCTACCTGGAAAACCCCGGAAAGGGCCGTCATAAGTCAGAATTAAATTGATAGCACACTATTATTAATGCTTGGGCAAGCTGCACAGTCCTAGGATGCCCCCAGAAGAAAGGAATGCCAAACCACTTCTGAGTATCCTCTACCTGGAAAACCCCGGAAAGGGTTGTCATAAGTCAGAATTAAATTGATAGCGCACTATTATTAATGAACTATAGGACTGATTGTTTTATGCATACACTTAACAGAGATTAAAACAGCAGTAGCAGCTGCTATGACTTAGGGACTTCATAATGTAATTCCAAGATGCAGAGTGAAATTTCCTCAAACTGTCGATTGCAAATCTTAGATTTCCCCATCAACTTCCAACTGGCATGTTTCTCAAATGGGGCGGAACGTGGTTTTCAAGTCTACATAATTACCAGGGTGTTGGGTACATGTGTAACCTATTGGTGCATTTACCTGATCAATGGCAATCACTCTGCAAGTCCCCCCTCATCAATCCGCTCCTAATCACAAAGAGCCTTTATCAGTGCTCTGCGTCCAACACACAGAGGGACACAACGCAGAATGCGAGGACGGTTCCACCGCGCAAGGTACCCTTGGCCCACGAGACTGGGAACTCTCCCATGAGGTGCAGTTAGTTTGGGTTACATGGTGATGCCGGTGGGCAAAGAAGCCTTTTACCAAGGGGGCCACATTGCACAGTGATTAATCACACAGACGGTGGGAGTTACAGTGTCATTAGTGGAATGAGGTGCTGGTGGATGAGATGAAGGAGTTAATAGTGGCAGTGGCGGTGGCGGTGTCGGTAGCGGCCAGGTGTGGGTGGGAAGATTATTTCAAGAGGACTAGAAACACAATGGACAAACACGGCAGAGGGGGCTCCCTGTCTTGAAGGAAGAGGCAGCTTGATTCGTGAACCTGCTAACTCTTTCTCAGTGTGTACGTAGAAAGGGTGGAAAACGAAGTGGGACAAACGTCACCTGGAGGGGGCTCAATTCTCAATGGTCTCCTTAGTTAATGCTTGTTTGACTAGCTCAGTACTGGGAACAAAAGCAGCCATGTGTAAACTTGGGGGGGGGAGAAATGATGGCACCTAGCCAATCTTTTCAGTGTTTGGTCAGACCAGGTGTAATAAGCATGCAATGCCCTCTTCACAATTAGTTGGGGTGATGGAATATCTTTGTATGGGGAGCGGGGCATGGAATGGTTCTGACCAAGCAGCATGTCCCTCCAGAAAGGCCAAGGACTCCAGGTCCTTCCTTATTGTAAGACAAAGTGAAGCAGTTGCTATAGGTAGCAGGTGCTTGGAGATCAACCGCAAGGGGTCAAAGGAGATAGCGGTGTCTCACTTTTCCTGACCCAAGCCCCCTGAGATATCTGGGTGCTTTCTGGTCCATCAAGGGACATTCTTCCAAAATCAGAGTTTTAAAAAGGATGCAAAGACCAATCCTGCTGAACGATGGACCGGAAGGGGTGGACACCACGGCCATGGTGTTCACTGAGACATGAAACATCTCTTGGGCTGGCCCTGAAGGAACTGTGGATCAGATGAAGCCATGAAGATTGTGATGATTCTGATTTAGCGGGGCCAGGAAATCTCTGAACTTTGAGTTCGAACTTTGCCAGAGCCATCTAAAGAGCTGCGCTCGGTCCGTTCAGCACCAGGAACAGCTCCTTCGGAGCAGATGTATTTGTCTCCCAGAAGGTCTTCCCCAACCTTCCATGTTAAACCCTTTGATTTCCATGTCAGCTGATGGACATCCCCAGGAGATGATCAGGTCACCTGGTCATCTCCTGGAGATCTAGAATCTTTGCCTAAGGCCAGCACAGGGGCCAGGGCAGGGGGTGCTTAAGCACATATGGGGGGTGTTGTTGTTGTTGGTGCCTGACTGTGCTGTAAAGATACAGAGCCCAGGGAAGGAGGGAGAAGGTGGGATGAGAAGCCAGACAAGCGTCAGCGACAAAGGACTGAACAGAGCATGTGCCGTACTGGATTCTTACAGGTAATCCAGGTGCTCCAGTTGTTCCAGGAAAACCTGGAAGGCCCTAAAGGAAGAAACAAGGGAGTCACACCTTGGTAATCACATTGTCTAGACCAAGGAAGGTGGGCCACGAGAAGGAACGTAAAGAGGAAGAGTTTCTTGAAGGGAAGGACAATTTTTGATGGCAACCAACAGGACTCCATCATTTCCTGTAGTAAGAGCAAGAGGGAGCACCTTTCCAAATTAACCGTGTCTGTTTCCCCCAAAATGGAGGGCTCCCAAATCGTTCCCAGTTTTGTCTCTCTACCACGAGATCTTTTGAGACCAGAAGGCTCAGAACGTGCAAAGTGGTTCAGAGTCTGGGTGTCAAAGGGCAAACTTCAAGGCACTCTTCCCTTTCTGGATTCTGAATGCAAGGCTCCGTTTATGCTGATAACTCAGGAGGTGGTAAGGCAATGGTCCCCAACCTTGGGCCTCCAGATGTTCTTGGACTTCAACTCCCAGAAATCCTGGCCATCAGAGGTGGTGGTGAAGGCTTCTGGGCGTTGAAGTCCAAGAACATCTGGAAGGATGGGAACCACTGTGGTAAGGGATAAAGTTTAGTTGTGGTGCACAGGGGGAAAAATCATCAACAGAGAAGGTGAGCCATGGATTGAAGGATGTACTCACACTTGGTCCAGGTGGGCCTGGGGGGCCTCGTAAGCCTGGGGGTCCCTGTGCAGAAGAAGAAGCCAAGAGAAAAGAAGATGATTGGGAAACCTGGGGTCGAGGACAGCATCCTTGCTATCAGGAGTGTTCAGGTGGTGTTACCTGCTCTCCTCTTTCTCCAGGTAAGCCCGGAACTCCAGGATGGCCAGGACCTCCAGCGCAATCCTCTTCATTGTCACCCTGGAAAGAAACACAGGATGATTTGGCCCTGAAATCCAGCCAATTTTATATATAAGAACAACATTAGATGGAAGGCATCCTTCAGCCGCTTTCCTCCGATCAGCTAACTCAGTTATGATCCCAGTGAGAGGTTTTCAACAGGTTTCCCCTCTTTTTTAAACTGTCAGACCTAAACATCTTTTAAGACAAAGTTCTGGTGAAGGAAGAGTTCTCTACTTAGCCCTTTCAGTCGGGCACTCAAGAACCTCCATCACCTGTGAGCATCTACATGAACATCTTTCGAGGATACAGCTAGGGGACAGACTCGGCAGTAAAACTGGTGATCAACAGAGAAAAACGTGGATTCCTTAGAAATGTGGTGCTGGGGGAGAGCTTTGCAGATGCCCCGGACTGCCAGAAAGATAGACAAGTGGGTCCTAGGATCAAATCAAACCTGAACTCTCCCTGGAGGCAAAAATGCTGAAACTGAGGTTCTCCTAATTTGGGCCCGTCGCGAGAAGGCAGGACTCTCTGGAAAAGACATGACATGCTGGGAAAGGCAGCAGGAAAAGAAGGCCTGATACAAGATGGATCGACTCCTTAAAGGAAGCCACCAGCTTGGGTTTGCAAGATCTGAGCAGGGCTGTTGAGGGCCGGACATGTTGGAGGTCCCTCTTTCAGAGGGTTTGCCATATGTTGGAGGCAACCTGACAGCACACAACTGCAACAATAGGGAGAAGATTCCAGAGGCTTGAGAGGGTGGCAACGGAACATGTGGGACTCATCCTTCTTTGGAGCTGGACTTGGATTTGAATGCCAGGATTTGCAACACAGTAAATGAGCGCGCCTGACAACTAATGTGGGTGCTTTGCGTCACGGAGAACCCGCGGCAGGCTTAATTAGTCAATTTGTTGCAGATGTTTTGAATCGCACGTCTACATGCACTATTGACTGCAGACACAAACGTTCTATATATAGACTCATTCTGAAGGCCAGGCTAGATGGGAAATTAGGAAATCTATTATTGAATTCCCCCCACTTTCTTTTGAAAAGAGCAAAGGAGGTTGCAAGGGGCCTTTGTTTTTGACCAGAATGTCAGAGATGAGGGAAGAAGGCAGTTTAATCCATTCCGGTCACCTGTTCTGTAGCTGCTGCTTGCCACATGAAGGGGAAAAGCCACTGCACTCCGGATCCTGTCCCCACTCCACTTCTATTGATGCTCTATTTTTCATTTTCAAAATCCCTCGGAAACCCACATGTTCCTCTTCTATGTAGTTCAGTCATGCTTCCTTAGATTTCCTTCGTATTTATATAAATAAATCAATAAAACAGACTAAAATATTGTCATATCTAAGTCTGGAGAACTGCGCTGCCTTGGAGCCTTCTTTTTTAAAAATGGATTAACTGCACTTTCTCTCTTTCACTGTATTGTGTGTGGGTTTTTTTTTTTACATGAGAAGCAACAGCCAGCATGAGTGCGCAAGGAACACACTGATCCATCTCTTGGCCATTCACCCTTGCCCCTCCCGGAAAAACCTCATTTGTCAGCATCGAGCGCAGTATAATCATCGACTCAAGCGGCCCGCTGAGCTCAAAGACAGATTAAAAACACATATATCTTCCAAATCCTGTAAGGATCTGCAAGGCCTTTGCTGGAATTGAAAGCCAAAGAACCTCGAAGAGGGGAGAAGTTTGAATCAGGGATGAGCTGAAGGCAGAAAGCTTGTGAATCCCATTGGTTCTCAGCTGAAAAAGATCAGACTTAGCCTGTGGTGCTGGTCCTGTGTGTGTTTCTATGTGGTGCCTCCCCCCCCCCCAGTTCAGCTTTGGATGATCCCTGGAAAAGATCAGACTTAGCCTGTGGTGCTGGTACTGTGTGTGTTTCTATGTGGTGGCCCTCCCAGTTCAGCTTTGGATGATCCCTGACATAGATGCCATGTGCTTTGAGCGGACATTCTTCTCTGGCAGTGAACCCATACAGTATTCATTGACACATCATAGATATTTTTTGTCCTTCCATCTTTTCCGTGCTTCTTGGAAGACAGCCAAGGATGTTACTCACCCGCGCTTCTTCTGCTCTGGGGAACTGGGCAAAGCACTGAGGGTGAAAAAGAGACACCAAGAGGTCAATTTCTAGCTGAGAATCTGTGGGACATTTCACTAGCAAAACTGCATTGAAAGATGTAGAGGTTTCTGAGACCAGGCAGGCCTGGCCTGTCGTGTTGCAAAAGGTCATAAGGAAGATCTGGGAGGATCTTGGCCCTCACTGCTGCAAGATGGTGAGCCATGCAAAAATCTGATCTTTGTTCAGATGTTTGCCTGTTGCCACTCTTACGCACGGCCACGTCCTGAAGGCGTGTGAACTTACCCGGGCACAGTTCTCAATGCCAGGGGCTCCAGGCATCCCTTGGTCTCCTTTCTGTCCTTTCACGCCATCAGGGACTTGGTAGGACTGCAGGAAAGCACAGTCTCCGCAGATGTTCTGGCACAAGAAAAGGAAAAATGAGTAGAAGTGGCTGGCTTGCTGGCTTCCCAAGACCGATTTCACCCTTTGTGCAATGAACAATGCACGAGCGATCAGGGATGGATGAGTCCTGTCATCTCTAGGTAGGACATAAGGAGACCTTCTTAGATTGGGGGTTACTTTTTTTCTTCTTCTGACAAGCTTTTCAGTAAGACAGGGTATGCCCAAACCAAGCTACACCTACTGTCTTCCTTTCAATGCTTCCTGCTTCCCTTTTTGTCTGCCTTTTTTTGGGAGAGCACTACTGGAAATAGCCAGATCTGAGAATAGCCAGATTGAGAAGAGAAGACTCCCTGGAAAAGACCCTGATGTTGGGAAAGTGGGAAGGCAAGAGGAGAAGGGGACAACAGAGGACAAGAGGGCTGGACAGTGTCTGCCTGTTGGATTGTGTCATGGAAGTGACCAACATGACTTTGACCCAACTCCAGGAGGCAGTGGAAGACAGGAGGGCCTGGAGTGCTCTGGTCTGTGGGGTCACGAAGAGTCAGACATGACTTAATGACTAAATAACAACAACTGGAAGCAGTGGCGCTAGCTTTACCTGTTGCCATTTGCTCTGATCAATACTTTGGCATTACCTCTGGAGAAATGCACCACACATGCTTTAATAAGGCCTTAAGATCTACAGTATATTCGAAGACATGATGACCTGCTTCTAAAATACCTTGGATGGGCATCTACCCCAACTTTTCTTGAGAGCAATGATTCTCAATCTTGGGTCCCCAGATGTTCTTGGACTAAAGCTCTCAGAAGTCTTCACCATAAGCTGTGTTGGCCAGGACTTCTGGGAGTTCTAGTCCAAGAACATTTGGAAACCCAAGGTAGGGAACCACTGGTTTAGAGAATAACTTTTTTTGTGCATTTCACAATCCCACAAATTCCTATTCCAATGCTGAAAAAAAACAACCAACCAGAAAGCCAGCCAGTCAGCCCACCCACCCGCCAGTTAGTCAGCCAACCAGCCAGCCAGCCAACCAGCTAGCCAGCCAGC